TTGGGGAGAAAAAGGGACATCTGTAATATTTTAAACAAAAATAAAATTTAAAAATTAAAAAAAAAAGTAACATAAATTGGTAGGCACATGAAAATGTAGCTTCGAAGTACTGTATTATTCAGAGATTCTATATTTGCAAATTCACCCACTCACCACAATTTACTTGTAAACTCAAAATCAATACTCATGATTTTGTGGTCATTTGCATTCACAGAATGATAAAAAATTTAGTGCCCAATACATGGTTTCCCAGCTGAGGTTGAATAAAGTAATGCCTTGTCTGCATGTCCCAGCTGTCATACTGTAAACGAGTGTCTTTTTTCCAGTCTATTTGGCACATTTTTTGCATTTTTCTGTTTTTTCTTGTGATTTCACTTTTTAAAACAGCCTTCCTATGTAATGCAGAAGTACTGTCTAAGGCTCCTGAGTGCAAGAAGGTTGCGTTCTGCCTTGTGGAGAAAAGAGGGGGGTTAGATAGGCTTTGTACAAGTATTAATTATGGTGCTGTTGGCCGTTAGATCATGAAACAACAATAATATCAAATAAGGTGTTTTAAAACAAGAACACATATAAAACGAGGTTCTGGACTGATTGGTTGTCCTGGTTGTCCAAAATATTGTGACCAGAGGCTTACAGGAACCTAGCCCTGTATTTCCCCCCAGCAAGGATTCAGTATTTGCTTATTCAATGTTCATGGTAACTTAGAATATAACTGCCAAGAATAATGAGAATTAACTGAATATAAATAAAAGTTAACTGAAATTAGATAGATAGATCCACAGTTACAGTGATTTTAACAGAACTCTCTCAGTAACTCACAGGACAACCCACAGAATGGGAGGAAATAATCATGAATTATATACAGAACCCCAGACTTACAATGGTTTGACCTACAATTTTTTGACTTTATAATGGTGTCGAAGCAATACATAATAAATTACATGAACTATTCAACACTTTATTATAAGATAGGTTTTGTTTCAGATCATTTTGCCCAACTGAAGGCTAATGTAAATGTTCTGAGCATGTTTAAGGTAGGCTAAGCTAAGCTATGACATTTTGTAGGTTAGGTCTGTTAAATGCAGTTTTTACTTATATTTTCAACTCAATGATGTGTTTATCAGGACATAACCATCGAGGAGTATCTGAATCTAAGAAACGTCTGGTAGCCAGAGTATATAAAGAACTCTTACAACTGAACAACAAAATGACAACCTAATTTAAAAAAGGTCAAAAGACCTGAATAGACTTTTCTCCAAAGAAGATACATGAATGGCCAGTAAGCACGTGAAAAGATGCTCAATGTTATTGTCAGGGAAATGCAAATTGAAACCAAAAACTCAAATGAGCTACAACTTCACACTCTAAGATGGTCATAATTAAAAAACAAAAAGTTAGCCTTGGCCAGGTAGCTCAGTTGGTTGGAGCATCACCCCATACACCAAAAGGTTGCAGGTATGATTCCCCTTCAGGGCACAGACCTTGGCTGTGGGTTTGATCCCCAGCTGGGGCCCATACAGGAGGCAACTGATCGATGTTTCTCTCTCACATTAATGCTTCCCTCTCTCTCTTTCCCTTCCTCTTTCTCTAAAAGTCAATACACGTCCTTGGGTGGCGATTATAAAAGGGTTAAACAACAAGTGGTGGTAACACTGTGGAGAAACTGGAACCCTCATGCACTGCCTGGGGAATGCAGAATGGGGCAGTGGTTGCGGTAAATAGTTTGGCAGTTCCTGAATAAGATACATGCAGTGTTACCATGTAACTCAGCAATTCCACTCCTAGGTTTATTCCCCAAAGAAATGAAAAAAAAAATAAAATAGATGTTCACACACTTGTATCCATATATCACCTATCATCCATCCATCCATCCATCCATCCATCCATCCATCCATCCATCCATCCATCCATCTATCTATCTATCTATCTATCATCTATCTATCTATCTATCATCTATCATCTATCATCATCTATCATCATCTATCTACCATCTATCTATCATCTATCTATCTATCATCTATCTATCATCATCTATCATCTATTTATTAAATGTTAATAGTAGCACAATTCATAACAGCCAAGGTAGAGACACCCTATGAACAGCAGTTGATGAATGGATAAACAAAATGTGGCATATCCATATAATGAAACCTTGAAAACATTATACTAAGTGAAAGAAACAGTAGCAAAGACCACAGATTACACAATTTCATTTATTTGAAATGTCCAGACTAGGCAAATCTATAGAGACAAAGCGTAGATTAGTGGTTGCTTAGGGTGGGGGTGTGTTGGGATGGAGTATTTTTGAGGTGGTGAAGATGTTTTAATATTGACTGTGGTGATAACTGTACAATAGTGAATATACTAAAAACCATTGACTACTTTAAATATGTGACTTGTAAGGTATGTGATTTTTATCTCCATAAAGTTGTTTTTAAAAAGGACACCAGAAAAATAGGCATTTTCAGATATTTTATGTCTATTACAGAAACTGAATTCATAATAAAAAACCAGCCACAAAGAAACTCCAAGGCCAACTTGCTTTAATGGTATATTTTCCAAACATTTAAAGAAGAGGCCGGCTGGGCGTGGCTCAACGGTAGAGCATTGGCATAGGATCCAGGAAATCAGGGTTCAATTCCCGGTCAGGGCACATGCCCTGGTTGTGGGCTCAATCCCAGCAGGGGTGATGCAGAAGGCAGCCGATCAATGACTCTATCATCATTGATGTTTCTATCTCTCTCTCTCTCCCTCTTCCTTCCTCTCTCTGAAATCAATAAAGATATATATATATATAAAATTAAAGAAGAAATAAGAGCAATCTTAAACTTGTCCATAAAACGGAAAATGGAGAACCAGTTTATGAGAGTGTAATATCGATGCCAAAACATTATAACTCACTGAAGATTCAAGTGATGGTTAGCATTTTTTAGAAATAAACTATTTTTCAATTAAGATACGTACAATTTTTTTGACAATGCTATTGCATACTTTATATAGTTTAGTGTAAACAACTTTTATATCCAAGGAAACCAAAAAATTCATGTGATTCACTTTACTGTGTGTGATATCTGCTTTATTGCAGTGGTCTAGAGCTGAACCTGCAGTATTTCCAAGATATGCCTGTATTAAAAAATACATTGTATTTTAATAAACCAACAATAAACAATGAACCCAGCAGGATTTTCTGTGGAAACTGACAATATTTCTATGAAAAGGCAAAGGACCAAAATTTAGCGAATAAATTTTTTGAAGAATTAACTTTAAGGCCTATATTATCATATTTCATGACGTACTGTAATGCAACAGTAATTATGACAGTGAAGTACTAGCAAAGGGATAAATTGGGTCAAAGGAACAGAATACAGTTTAGCTGTACATACACACACACACATACACGGTCACTTGCAATTCAGTGGACAGAGGATGGTCTTTTAAACAAACGTTACCATACCTACTTGATATCCATATAGAAATATGAACCTTGACACCTTATATCATACAATAAAGCAATTCCAGGTGACCAAGCTTAAATAATCAAGAATGTACTAACAGCACAGACTATCTTCAGGATCTAGGAGTAGGGGAAAAAACTTGCAACCATGACACACAGAGGACTACCTTTCAAGAAAACACTGGCACTGATCTTTGAGGACTGGCACTTCCTGATTTCAAAACTTAACTATAAAGCAACAAAATCAAGAGAATCTACTTCTGGGTATATAGCCACAAGAATTAAATGCAGGATCTCGAATATATTTGTATACGTATGTCCATAGCAGTATTTTTCACAGTAATCAAAAGGTGGAAGCATCCTGGTAGGTGTGCTCAGTGGTTAGAGCGCTGGCCCACGCACCAAAGGGCCGTGGGCTTGATTTCTGGTCAGGGCACATACCTGGTTGCAGGTTCGATCCCTAGCCCCTGTTGGGGTGCATGCGGGAGGCGACCAGTAAATGTGCCTCTCTCACATTGATATTTCTCTCTCCCCCCCACTCCCTTTCACTTTCTCTAAAAAAACAAAACAAAACAAAATGGAAAAAAATGTCCTCGGGTGAGGGCTAGCAACAACAACATGGTAGAAGCAGCCTAGGTGTCCATCGCCAGGCGAACAGATGAGTAAAACAGGGTGAAGACACACAGTAGAATATTGTTTAGTCTTAACACGGAAGTATATTCTGACGCATGCTACAACATGGATGAACTCTGAGAACTTGACGTTAGTGAAAAAGCCAGTCACAAAAAGAAAAATCACTGTATGATTCCACGTATATGAGCAGTGAAATTCATAGACAGAAAGTGATTGTCAGGGGCTGAAGGGAGGCAGGAATGGGGAGTTGCTCTTTAATGGGTCTAGATCTTTAGTTTTGCAAGATGAAAACAGTTCTGGAGATTGAGTGCACAACAATATGAATGTACTTAATACTACTGAGCTGTATACTTAAAAAATGGCTAAGATGGTAACTTTTATGTTATCTATCTTTACCACAATTAAAAACAAAATGGAAAAAAGAAAAAGAAAGTAAAGAGCCAGGTGTCCTAGCTGTGCAGGCTGCCATAACCCAATGCCAGGCTGAGTGGCTTAACCAACAGAGATTATTTCCTCACAGTTCTAGAGGCTGGAAGTCCACGATCGGGGTATGAGCATGGCCCATTCCAGGGAGGCTTTCTTCCTGGCTCAGATGGCCACCTTCTCACTGTGTCCTTATGTGGCCTTTGCCTCCGTGCCTTATGACCTCATGTAACCTTAATTACCTCCTAAAAGCTCCACTTCCAAACACAGTAACATTAAGGGTTAGGGCTCTAGCATATGAACTTTGTAGGGGAGACACACAATTCAGCCCATAGCACCCGGTGAACACAATGAGGATGTGGTTCTCAGGGTCAGTCCAGAGGAGACAATAGGAAGGAATATGAGGCCGAACCAGGCACAAGCTAAATGAGGTTTGGTTTTGCTTGAGAATAAAGTTACATACTGAATTTGTAAATTTCATATTTCCACTAGATTGTGAACCCTGTTAGGGAAAAAAACTATCTGTGTTGTTTAAGCTGCAACTAAAGCAGATGTCAATTCCCTGGAACATCCTGGCTGTTCAATAAATAAGTGTTAAAAAAGCCAGAGCAGCAATAAAGTAAAAAGGAGAAATAGGACGGGGCGATGCCTCCAAAGCCTGAGCTGGTCATCTTGAGAAGTTGGGAATTTTACTGTAGAGGGGTGAGGAGCCACTGAGGTGATTTACAGGCAGAAGAGACATTATTTCATGAGCATTTAGATGAACAACCCACGTGAAATGTGCTTGAGGAGGTGAGGATAGAGGTGGGCAGATTAGTGGAGAAGCTATTCCAACAGTTCAGTTGAGAGACCGTAAGATAGCAGTAGGGGAAATAAAGTAGAGAAATGCATTTAAAATGCATTAGGTTGAATCATACAAAACTGCTATTATTTTTGACTGACCCCAGTAGGAAAAGGAGCAGAACATGGTAACTGATCAGATGTGGCAGGACTTGAGAGAGAGAGAGAGAAAAAGAGAGAGCGCGCGCGCAAGGAGAACCCAGGATAGATGCACCCCGCTTTTGTGGTGTGGGTGTCTGGCTGAATAGGGAAAGTTGAGGAGGACTAGTTCAGGAAGGGCTGCAAATGTTGGCTTTTACTCTGATTCAGCTGAGCTGCAGACACCTACAGAGAGATGCTGAATCAACTGTGTCCAGTGTGGTAGCCAATAGCCACATGTGACTATTTGAAACTTAAAAATTCAGTTCCTTAGTCAAATGAGCTGCATTTCAAGGGTTCAACAGCACATGTGGTTAGTGGCACCACTCTGGACAGGGCGGATATAGCTCATTTCTATCATCACAAAGAGCGCTATTGGTCAGGGTGGGCTGCAGAGCCACATTTGGGAGAAGTAGCTCATACACCATTGTTAAAACCAGAGAGGGGATGGAATGAGTCAAGAAAAGTAGCCAGAAGAGTAGTGAGAAGGAATGGAAACTTGTGGATGAGGCACATGAAAGGACAAGAGAAGGACAGTGACTCCACGAAAGAAATGAGAGGCAGGACAGTGGCAGAGGAGGGCGTCACAGACACACGAGTTCTACCAGAAGGGTGGGGTTGGACACATGCCTAGTAAGGAAAGGACTGGGCAGGACCCACTGGATTTGACTGTAGTTAGGTCCCTGGAGCCTGCAGGTCATAGGTGTATGAGAGACATCGAGGCCTCACGCAGCCGACTGAGGTGTGAATGGAAAGTGTGGCGACATTTGCCAGAGAACAGAACTTTAAACTCTGCTGGATAACTTATTCATGACAAGTACCTGAGAGAAATGTTTATGGAGAGATATTTTAAGGACATGAATGTATAGATCACTCAGGCTGACCTCCAGCTGGCCTAAGTGTCATTCCTGAATTCAACAGGATGATCAGGAAAGTATCTACTTAAACTTCTGTTTTAGTTACCTGAGCAACTGTATGAACAACAGCCCTGCTTTGGAAACGTAGCCTCTACTTCCACTGAGGAAAAAGTGGAAACCTCCTCCTGCATATATTTCAGGGTTGTTATTAGAAAGTTCTGCACTATGATCACTGACAATGAAGACCAACAAAGACATTTCTTCCTGACTTGGAGGATTTTAGGTGCCATGAGGAATGCTTGACTTAAGCTTGTCATCAATATACATCTATAAGCTAACATTGTTGGCCTCACTCTGACACTCCTATTGGAAGAACTAGGAAGAGATTTACAGCTGTGCTTTGGAAAATCTGTACCATGAGGACCTGCATCTGCCTACATGCCAGCTCTGCCATGCTGTTCATGTGCTTTTCTCTATCTTCCTTCAATTACGCCGATACATTTATAGTTCTATTTGTCCACATGCACGTACGGTTCCTTAACCACTAACAAAATCCATTATAAAAAAGGTGTTAATCAGCAACTCACCTGAGGCTTGTTCATCTTCTGCTGCTCTTGGGAGAGTGGAGAGAACTGTGAAGGATACGCTGGGGGTGAGGAGAGAGTTGTGGAGTCATGAGAGGTTTGGTGAGCTGCTGCATTCACTTGCCCAAGACCTTACTGCGCCAGCGGGGGAAAGGCCTCCCTATGAAATGTTCCACCGGCCCTTGAGAAGGGGCAGGATGCAGCCGGCAGAGACAGCATGCCCTGAATATGTACATCTCTGATATGATCACACAGATGTAACCCTGCCATTTTTCATTGGGTGATCGTAAATTATCTTACTATTGATTTTTAAAAAGTATGTCTCCTCTGACTAATTAACAACAAATCAAAACAGGATTAATATCACTATTCTATTTAATATTATTAATTATATTAATATTATTATTTACACCTTGAGTTAGAAAATCAACAGAAAACTGAAAAGAATGATAAGATGCTTACTGATTAAAAATTTTAAAATATTTTGTTCCAATTTGTTGCAATTTCTCAAAAACACTTTCCCCCCGCCCCAGCTAAGTTTCCTTTTCTATTCTCCACCTGATGGCTAAAATTCTTGAGTCAAATTTACTTCAGATTCTCCTGAATCTGTTCTTTTTCTTTTAATTAAAAAAAAATTTATTGAACTTATTGGGGTGACATTAGTTAATAAAATTATATAGGTTTCAGGACTGTAATTCTATAAATACATCATCTGTGTACTGTACTGAGTTTTTACCACCCAAGTCAAGTCTCCTTCCATCACCATTTATCTCCCTTTCCCCGTCTTCTACCTCCCCACAGCCTCTAAAAGTCTTATTAAAAAGGCTTCTGATAAGACACTTCTAGTCACTTACCTGTGACAGAATGAGTAGCACTGTGCTTTGCTCCCAGTTCTGTCCTGGTTTCAAGAGTTAGAAACAGAAATTCCTTCCTGTACTATCACTTTGTGATTCCCTCTGTTCAGGATAAAGGAAGCTTCAGCATACCTCTAGATGCCACATGTGAAGGACATGATGCAAGAATGGCTCAGAGCCTGGAAAGAGGGAAGAAAATGAAGGGCTACTTCAGAAGAACTACTACAGAACTTCCTTGGCTCTGGCTGTGGCTTTTCCTGTAAAGCCTGACAGTCACCCATCCCTCTCAATCCCAGCTTCTCACCTTCTGTGAGCTGGTCCACGGTTTCCACTTCACACAGCCTGTGAGTGTGGCAACATCACCAAGTCTGGCTCTCTCTGGTCAAGGTGATGAAGAACTGCTTCTGGTGAAGTGAATCAGGACCCGCTTCTTTCTGAGCTCTCCTGCATCTGTTCCAAAGCTCTGGTGAAGGTAGTCCCTATCGATGGGCTGTTCTTCCAGGCAGGACTCCTGTCCCTAGGGCTCCCTCCTTCTTGCCACACAACAGCCACTTTGTTCCAGAGATGCTGAGCCTTAGGCTAGGAAACAAATTCATTTTAGTTGAATCTTTCATTGAGAGAAGTGTTTCTCCATTTCAACATTGTTGACATTTTGGGCTGGATAAATCTTTATCACGGGGTGTTACCCTATGCATTGTAGGACGTTTAGCAGGATTTCTGGCTCCTACCCACCAGGTGCTAGAGGCAATCCTCCTCCCAGTTGAGACAACCAAAAACATCTCTAGACATTTCAAAAGTTCTCTGGGGAGCAAAATCACCCTAGTTGCGAACCACTAGTGTATATGATAAAGTTAAACCTGAGTCTCTTGGAATTCATTAGAACCGTTCTATCCATTACTGTAGCCACATCCTACTACTGAGCATCTGAAATGTGACTAGTGCCACGTTGAAATAATAACATTTTGCACATGTTAAGATAAATGCAATACAGTCAGTCCTCATTTAACATCATCGATAGGTTCTTGGAAATGGCAGCTTTAAGTGAAATGGTGTATCACAACTAATTTGATCACAGGCTAATTGATATAAACAAGAGTTAAGCTCCTATGGCATATTTCTGGTCATAAAAACATCACCAAACTTCTAAATAAAGACCCAAAACACTCCCAATACTAAACATTGAAATTAATGTGAGTTATATATGTATTTAAGACAGATTAATGAAAACAAGTAAGACAATGATTTTTCTAACCTGCTTATTCAGGTTTAGGGTGTCCAGAGCCTCCCCAGCAGCTCAGGATGCAAGGCAGGACCCCACCCTTCCATTGCAGGCCACACTCACTCAGACTGGACAGTGTAAACACATCAGTTAAAATCACATGCACACTTTGGGGTGTGGGAAGAAACGGAAGTCCCTGGAGAAACCCAGGCACATGGGAGATGTGCAAACTCTAGGCAGTGGCACAGCCGGGAACCCACTTTCCTGCCTCCATCGTCGTTACAGGACGCTGTTGAATTAAATATCGTTATTCNTGCCTCCATCATCGTCACAGGACGCTGTTGAATTAAATATCGTTATTCAGTGGCCTGCTGTATGTTCTTAAAATTAATTGCACATGTTTCTTTTTAGTTTTTAATGTGGCTACTAGAACATTTAAAATGACATGTGAGGCTCACCTGACCTTTCTATCGGGCAGCGCTGCCTAGACTGTCCTTCTGAAGGTAGACACAGCCGGGACAGCGCAGAGGGTGTCAGGAGCCTTCCCAGAGGCGCTGGAGACACGCCAGAAATCCCAGAACACGTGCACTTGTCACAGAGGGATTCGGTCGGCAGGGACTTTACCACCACAAGTCACGGCTGGTGGGTGAAAGCTGCAACGCTGGGTTCCCGTAGGCCGGGCGGAGGACCAGTGAGTTTGGGAGTGAAGCACATCTATATTTGCATCCCGCCTTCCTCACCTTTGTGACCTTGGGTCTGTACGTTTTTTCCTCCTCTGAGCCCATTTTCTTATTTTTTAGTGATGTGGTTATACCTATAAATAGGGTGGTCGTGAGAATTAAATGAAATACTAAATGGAAAGAACAAAGCTGTCTTCCAAATATGGGAGCCAACGTGTAATGCTGACCTATTAACAAGTACTTATTAGCGCTCATTAATTAGCACTTGGTTAAACAAGTGCTTTCCAAGTTCTGATTTCTCTCTCTGCACGGCGTCGCAAAGCAGTTTTCACTACCACGGTTTCCCGCGGCCAAGGGGCAGAGGCGGCGCTGCC